AGCGCCGAAATGGATGGAGAAGGCGATGACGAGTCTCGTCCAGGAGGCCCAGCTGCACAGCAGCCTCTCGACAAACATCGCCAGAACCACGGTCCGGGATTTCAAGGAGGCCAAGCGGACACAATGGGAAACGGTGACAAAGGTGAGTCGACTCATTCGGCATTTTCCTCCTTCCAGACTCGCAGCTGTTGGGGTCGAGGCGCTAATTTCTCGCCCGCAGCACTTGCCGGAAAAACTCGTGCTCGAAATGCAGGAAATGATGGGACCGTCCTACTACGCCTAGAAGGCTTGACAGACGACCCGAGGGGAGAGTCCTGACTTGTCGAGGTGGCATGACAGGCCACAAAAAGGGTGGCAGCGGCCGGGTAGTGTTGAGCAACAGTGGAAGAAGGACTAGATCCCAGAATGAACCCCCAGAATGGACCCCAGAATGTGCACCATATCTCTTTTTTCCAAATGGCCCAAGGCGAAGGAAGCTAGGACGATGAAAAGTGCGCCGTCACCGGGGGCGCTATGTAGCCCGAACCCGTTCTCCCATCCATGGACATTAGCGCGCAGCGCACGGTTGACTGACTGTTCGATTGGCATTTCCAAGGCAGACAGACAGACTCTCTCAACTGGATCTTCTTCTCCTTAGTGTCCCTCCTAATCCACACTGCTACCAAGAATGGTTCCACTGCTGCGGAAGCCTCAAAAGGTGGTCCATGGAGGTGAGCCAGGTGCACGCAGCTATCAAGACCCCTGTTAGCTAGCGCTGTTACGGAATCTTTGGAGGTCGAGACTGTGTTTTAAAATGTTTGGTTGCCTGCCTAAACAGAGGGCATTAGCTCAGGGTTGTGGTAACCCATTCTCTCGCATGCCCAACGGACAATCACCGATCGATCATGAGTGCTGGCGCTTTTTCACACACACACACAATCCTTGCGCTCGGGGCGGGGCCGGGTTGTAGCGCCATCATCCGAGATCGCTTGCGTTTTTGTTCTTCGAAACAGGTCTCCTAGGACGGTATCAGACTCACCTGGATCCTTCCTCGCTGTCGCTTTCATCTCCTCTCTGTCGATGCGGTGCTCGAGTGTATATCCATACTCTCGTCAAGTCGAGGTGCTAGCTAGCTAGCCTGAGAGCGTTGTACTTCAGCCTCGTTTGCGCGGTCGATGTCGCCCACTGATGCGTTGTTCAAGGGTAGCGCTCCTTCCACGAGCGGTTCGCCAGAGGATTGCAGAGTTTGGAACGGGATTGCGCGTGGTCGAACCTGTATTTCAATCGCCAGTTTGCAAAAGTCCGCTCCTGCTCCATGCGGTATATCAACACAGTTTCCTTCGATGAACACACCCCTGTGAACTCCTGCAGGACCTATACCTGACGAAAGGACAAACGAGACAAGTCAGTTTCCAGGGGTGTCGGCGCTCGCTTTCAATGTCAATCCTCAATCCTCCTCCGTCCCCTTGAGCGTCTCTCTTCTCTCGTCGAGACCCTGTTCTGTTCAGGTCCGTCTTCTTCATATAATCTCGCAAGATTTTCTTCATTGATAGCTTACTTCACCAGGATCTCCTCTTCCTCGGAATCCAGTCCTCAGCGTTTTGAGCCAGAGTTGTCCAGCCCACTCCTGCGTTGATAATATCTCTCCTCGGACGATTTCCAGCAAGGGTTACCCTTCCAACCGAGCGCCATCTTTTTCCGAGTTCTGCAGGTGTAAAAGTTCCAAGAATAGGATCAGCGTCGATAACACGATATTGGGGCCGTTCCAGCGCATCGCGAGCTTGGATACTCTCCAGAGGGACTTGTCAATGTTTCTCTTCACACCATGGACCAGAACCAGCAATATCAGGTTCGAATGCCTCTTCCCGGATGTATTGTCCTTCTCTGTCGAGTTGTTCTTTTCCTCTCTCTCTCTCTCTCATCCATCGGAGATGAAGTTGCGGTTCCACGAGGTCTTCGTCTCTTCTTTCAAAGTGCTCGAACACGCATGGCCAACAAATCAGAGCGGTTCTGCACCTGATGCCATGGCATGACGCTCCACGTGCAGGTTTCGAGTTCAATCGGCAGGATTGGTCCATCAAGGTGAATAATTCAATCTCGTACGGCGTCAGTCCAGTACTTGTCCGAATCGATGTCCTGTCGGCATACAGAAGGGGGTTTCATTTCCTCTTCCATCCGCAAAGAGGCACGCATTTGGCATTCCTGACACGATCGGACGTCGCTCTCAACGTCTTCCCCCAATGGGTTCCGAGAGATATCGGTCTGCAACACGTCGTCGATAAGTGCTTTCTCGATCACCGTGGCCTCTATCATCGTGCATCGCTTGCATGATGAGGCGTCTGTGCCCAGCATCATTGACAACGCGACGAGCAGGATTCGTCTTGTCTGGACGTCAAAGCAAGTGACCACCTCGCACAGAGTGCCGCAGTGCATCTTTTCGGAACTTGTTACGCTCAGATATTGTCATTCCTTCCAGTCTCGGTAGACCATTCAGGAGGAACTCCACAGTTGAGCATGATCGTTGACCAGATTCATCTGCTTTGAACTCTGGTCCGGTACTCAGCTCTCCTTCCGTAGCGGTTTCATCAACAATCACACCCCGGCGGTGGGATGGTGAACCTTCAGGGTTGTCAGAGGAGACGCGAATGGGCATGAGTCGTACGGAACTCGGTTGATTCGACACCCATGCATCAATGTCCTCTTCTTCTTGTAGTTCTGCCCGATCTGCATCTGTCGCAGGCCGTCGAGAAAGTGCATTTGCAACGACGTTCTTCTTCCCTGGCACACGTTTGACTTCCAAATCGAACAATCGGATCCAAGCAATCCACCGAGTAGCCAGTTGCGCCAGGGAGATCCGTTGCTGAGCGACTCAATTGCGCTGCCGGCGTCAAAGCATCCACCTCAAGGCGGAAATGTACTCCATATGGCCAGTTGTTGAACGTCTTCAACACCTTCAGCACTGCGCGTCATTCTCGTTTATCGGCGGCGTATTCGCGTTCAGAACTCGACCATATGCCTGGTAACTCTCGAATCTGGTCGCCCTTTGTTCCTTTAGGTTTCCTCTTGTGAACTGGGACATTTGGTTCGCCACTCCATCTAAACAAACTTGCGTCGACTGCAACGATGATGAGTCCTGCGCCCGGGGTGTAATCGATGGTAATCAGCGCCGGTGGAGTTGTTATGGCGATCTTGAGTTACCAACCACCCGAGTCCATTCCCAAATGGCACTCCTTTTCAGCAACATGCAAAAGACCTCGACTTTGAAAGCGAATCCATCCATCCAGACGCGGTAGTACGCGCACATACCAAGGAAACCTCGCAGTTCTCTGGGAGTTGGCCACGTCACAATCATCTCAATCTCGCTCGCTTCAGGGTGTCGACCAACCCTGTCGCAAACAGGTCCCACAATCTTTCCACCAGACATGCTGAACGAATTCGCTCCAGAGACGGTTGCGCCAGCCCCTTCGATATCGGCAAGGACTTGATCGAGGTTCTGGATATGCTCGAGAACGAACCTGCGAATGCCAGGCGCAATAATAGCATCATCATGATCAGTCCTTGGTTCTTTGACCGCGATGTCGTCCAGAAATGGCCACGCCCTGTCGTGGATCTGCGCGTCCAGAATCTCGTATGAGATGCGCACAAACTGCGACACCAACTTAGTCAAGCCTTGCAACAGCGTCATTTGTCGAAAACAGTCCAACTGGTGTCTGAATGGCTGTCTTATCTCGAAAATGCTCTGCGGGGGACATCTGATCATATCCTGAGAACCAATCAATCCCGAAATCATGTGCATTCCTGCAAATTCTTCAGAAAACGCGTCGGAAGACGGCGGTGATCCCGGGTCTCGGACTGTAATTTGTTCAAGTTCATGACGGCATTGATAAATCGGTGTTTGTCGTCATTGTTGCCCACAAGGAAGCAAAGGTTTTCGATATGGTCCGAAGCATGGTTCGAGAATGCTTCGATCCCGTCTCTCCTGAATGATCTTGACAAATCCAGGCTCAAGGAGGACCCCTTTGGCACGTTGAAAGATTTCGCTTGCCATGGTACATTCATGATCAACCACTCGGATCTCTTCTGGCGGTGCCACTTCTTCTCTCACACGATCGATCTCGCTCAAGGTCCACGAAAGGGCGACTGTCGAGTCGTCCACTTGAACATCTTCTCATGTCGACTGTTGGATTTGCGCCCACTGTCGCTCGCGCACTTCATTACATCTTCGAGAGATCCTCCAGCCAATTCTCCTGATCTGTTTACCGTCAAGCCATTGGGTAGACTCAAACAGAACTCTCTCATGTGTCGTTTAATCCACAAGACGGACTGACTGTACAGATGCCGTCTGAGTTCCACTTGATTGTCGCTCGCGCACTTTGTTGATACGGCGTTCCAAGAATGAGCTTGTCCTCTAGATCAATGTGAATGTGATCCGCAACGAAGAAGTGGGCGCTGACTTTGATGCCCATCACTTCAACTTCACGAAACCAAACTGGAGGACCAATTTGCAGCCGTCCATCCATGGCTGGCGACTACCAACTTGCGGGTAGGCCTTGCTTGCCAATGGGTCCTTTCCATGGCGATGCCAAAATCCGAACTGGTATTGAGGGAACGGGGGCGAGAGGCGAGCATGGAGACGACGACGACGCCGGGTGCGCAGTCAGGCTGGCTGTGACTCATTCGACGCGTCGCTTCTAGTTTTAGGGCGCTCAGGGCGGTAAGTCTCGACTCCATTCGACTGCCGGCGTCACCCTTTGACATAGCCACACACCCTGGTCTGCCGTGTCTTGCCATGTCCCATGTCACACACAAGGGGTCCTTTTCTTGGTTTGGCTTTTGATTCACCAGTTTTGGCTCGGAGCTGTGTCATCCCTGATACGACCCTTCGGGTTGATCCAGGACCCCATGACGAGAGGACACCGCATCCAGCCTTCGTCGTCGGTCGTCCAGGTCCGATCACAGCAGGAGCCCGACGCGTTTCTGGCATGTTCGGAGTAACGATCACTGGCTGCTGCTCGTTGGTCATGCAGCCGGCACAAATTTCCATTTCGGTCTCCGCAGAGACCGGCCACACGTCGACGACTCCAGCAACACGCAAACCACTGTTGATGAAGCCGACGCGAGGCTCGGCCGGCTCTTGGAGAGCTTGCAGGCACGGGGGCGCCCCGTATCCGTCACGTTGTCTCGCCGATCTGCACGTCACTGCACAAGGCCGTCAACGACGCGTCCTGATATCGGGCTTTTCGCTCTCGATACGATGTATCCGGTCAAGATCCTGGTCGACACTTTCAGCCATCCCATCGCGACACCCGGGCAGCCCGTGCTCGGGGATTCTCACGAGAAGACGAACGATCATCGTGCTCCGGGAACAGAGAGTCTTGAAGTTGTTCTCGGACGATGAATTCCTTGAGGGTGTTGACTATATCCAGGAGGCGTCCGATGAACACGCCGACGACAGCATCAAGTGGGTTCCTGGGATGTATCTGCGCTTGCTTGCACTGCCGTTGCTCTGGATAACACCGTGTTTCGTCTCACCGACCAAGGCTCCGTCAAGCAGGATTTGGTAAGATAGAAGGCGTTGATCTTGAGCAGATGCTAAGTTAGCCTGCATTCCTCTTGCCCGGCCGCCAAGTTGCCGCAATCCTGACGTCACCCAGGAGCACCCACTTTCCAAGCGATCGTAAGCTCTGGCAGGACGCAGCCGATCTTGAGGCCCGAGAAGGGGACGACATCTCTAGTGTAAACGACGTTCTGGACCTTGTCAAACGAGACTCCCTGCGACGTTTGCATTCTTTGGCCCTGGTGCGCTGCTCAGCGGGGCACCAGAATGAGGAGATAGAGGACGCACTGGAAGAGCTCTTCTAGGGAATCGGATTCAGGTGATGGGAAGCCCGATGGCGAACCCGACAATGAGCTTGGAGAATTCATTGTTCACCCAGACTCGGACCCCAAGGACACCTCAGAACCGAACCGGCAGCCGCTTCCTGTCTCGGCCTGCAGGGAGATGACCGTGGCTGTTTGAAAGACGGGCTCGAAGCGTACCAACTTGTCGCCTTCCCACCATCTTCGGCCAGGAGATCCACGCCGAAATTTGATTCATTTGTCAAAGCCCGAGCCCGATAAGAGTACGAAGGATGGAGGCAAGGAGAAGGCCGAAGTTGGGTAAGAATCTCCCGCAACACAACGCACCTGAGCTGGGGCACTGACTCTGTGATCAACAACAGGCGGATGATGTCCATCCAGTTGGTCTGCATCCTCTTGTCGCACACTGTAAAGGTCTCCGAGATGGGGCCCGAGGGTCCGACTCGACGCAGGGGTGGTGGAAAATGCCAGGAGCCTGATAAGCAGAGTCACAGAAGCCGTGGCGCGAGTCGGCTGACCCGTCCATACGCTGGCGTTCTGGGTCAACGTGTTGGACATTTCCGGAGGCGAGAAGACGCTCGAGCGGTACCGCACTGTCGTTCCGTGGGGCGCGCCATGTGGTTGCGTAGTTTCTGGCTCAACAATCTCACAAGAGGTCGTTTCACTCGCGTATCGTCAGGTCCGGTACAGGACCCGTCCGATTCCTCCACAGAGCCGAAAGGATCCGTCGGAGTTCAATCAAGAACCTGACCAGAGAGCAGAGGAAGAGAGCAAAGGCGGCGAGAAGGCGGTCCAGCATGATCTCACTGATAAGTCGGCCAAAGTCAGTCAAAGCATCCAGAACCCCGGCTCGAAAGAGCAGACCACCGGAGTGAAAGCAGACGTCAACGTGGCCGTCCCCAAAAGCACCACTCCACGGACGAGTTCGACGGGGAGGGGTGCTGACATGTTTGATGGGCTGGACGAGCGACGCAAGAAAGGAGCGCTTCCTCGGTTCCGATTAGGAAGTCGTACTGACCAATATTATCAGACCAGTTACCTAACTGGAGGGTAAATGTGTGTCCTGTGGGATCGATATAATGATAGAATAACTAGCCTATAGATAGTGATGTCAACACTTGAAGAAGACGTATGGCCCCTGCTGCTATATACATGCGATAAGCCAGCTGCTTGGCTGTCAGCCTGACTCCTTGGCTGGCGGCCTGAGCCGAGTGTGCAGTGTCACATGGGTGTTCGTGACAAATATCATCCTGCACCTAGCGTTGAGGATCGTCAACAGGCGCTCGACACCGCTGCGGATGGAACTCGGCGAGAAGCGGAAGCAATGCTGCTTCATCAGCCCGTATCCTCAAGACCCTTCCAACAGTGGAACGACAAAGGATGCGCTTGCTGATGCAATACACGATACGGCTGATCAAGACGACGAGGAAGATGATGAGGGTGTTCTCGATAGCTGTAGCGATTTGATGGGTGGTCTCGGCTAGCCAGCAAGCTCGGACGACGTTCTGCACAATGTGTTCTCAGCATCCTCCAGTTCCGACGCGATCGAAAGGCTCCCAGAGATTGACGAGGGTGACAAGGAGCAGGAGTAGGAGCAGCAGCCTGGGCCTGTCGAGCACGACGTGGAGGAACAAGGCGCCAACAAAGATCAAGCTGCCACCACCGAGACGACGGAAGATCCTTCCCTTAAGAACACCAGCTCCGGCGATCCAGCTTCTGCGATCAATTCTTTAGTAAGCGCAGTGGCAAGCAATCGGCACGAACACAAGGTGGAAACGTACAGAGACATCGATCGATTCAGGCAGTATCTTCCAACTTGACCTTGACAACGAGTTTGACAACCTCTCGGCAGATCCCACGACCGAGGACCATACTAACGATATCTCGAAGCCCGCCTCGTTATCTAACGGGAGACAGTGACGATAGTCGCCGTTGCGGATCTCAAGAAGGAGAATCTTGAAGATATCACGATCACGACGACCACAAAGAGCCAAAGACGCATCGAGAGAGACAGAGGAAGCAGGCGGCGATAAAGAGTAGACAGGAAGCTTTAGAGGAGAGGAGGACGGAGGAGGGGAGGAGGACGGAGGAGGAGAAGAGGGTGGAAGAGAAGAAAAGGACAAAAGAGAAGAAGAGGACAGAAGAGAAGAAGAGGATGGAAGAGAAGCAGGAGGCAAAAGCGGTGGGCACCACACATTTTCCTTCAAGTCTTGAGCTTCAAACCCAGCCAGGGTGATTAGGTTTTGTTCCGATGGATGGGCCAACGGTAACGTCTCTATTCCCGTGGGCGGGTGAGGACGTGAAGCCATGGGAGATGGAGAAGAAGGAGAAGAGGATACAAACGAGAGAAATGGCTGGTGACGTCACCCGGGCAGACACGTTGCATGACGTGGTTCACACTCCCGCAATCACGCAATACGCTCGGGAGCTCTACCAGCCGCAGCGGCGACTCCCATCCCGGGGAGCCTGGGTGCGCTACTCGGTGCGTCCGCAACTCTGGCCTGCGATCGGCAGGTGGCGAACGACCAGCAACAACAGGACATATCGCGTTGTGGAGAGGATGAAAGCTCAGTAAGCGGGAAAAATTGCAACACATGTCGTGTCGTATATCATGTATTGTCTGAATATATCGTTTACATTCACACAGGCTTCGTGGGCTACGTGATGCGAACTAATTCGGCCAAGAAATCGAAACAGACCATCAAGAGCAGCCAGCGGATGGCACGGGAAGGAAACTGGGCCGCAAACTTTTTTAAGAAAGTCTAAAAAGGGAATGTAAGGCGAAGTGCACATACGAGCTTGGCCACCCACCCAGACCGTCAGTCAGCCTGCGGCCGAAAAATCCAAGGATACACTATATCTTTGCTACGGCCAAGGAAGGCTTGGGGAAACAGTCAACAGCCTCCGAATGTAATAATGAGTATTTGATAACCACCGTACGTTTTGTTTTTTGGTTCAGGATTACGCTATTCCCGTCATGGGACAGGTCCAGCTTCGGTGGTTACGCTACTTCTCTACTTCCTACGGAAAGAGCCCTTCCTACAGGGGCCATCGTCAGCCTCGAAACGAACCGAACCGACAGGACCGTGAGTGTGTCTGCAAAATACACCGCGGTGCATCGAAAGACGATAGATCAGACAGCATGGCGGCAAAAAACTCAGAAGCGGCCATGATGCATGGCGTGTCGTGCCCAAAGGATTCGGATGGTCTGGGTGTTTGAAGTGCTCAGTGTGTCTTGAGCTGTGATGTCAACGTGTCTCGTCGAAAGGAAGAGATGGCAACTTAGAGGAGAGCCATGGGATCATCAATCGGTTACTCTTTTCGGGGGCCACAGTTACAGTGCACATGGCACACTATCAATCCTAACCGAGTGCGAGTGCTTCGTTAGTGACTGGGAAATCATGTGGGCAACAACTTGATTGAGCCGCCGACAACGCCCGAAACGCCAACAACGCTAATCACAGGCATCAGGGACTTTTAAGCCGATAGAGTTAGATTGCAGTCGCCCTCTAACACCAGCTAATCTCCACGAGGGCGACACGCGCAACACGGTGGTGGTGTGGGTCAGACACTATAAGGAGAGGGTCGACATCCAGTCAGCGAATGAGAAACGCGCTAGGCCAGTCACACGCCAACGCCACTAATCAGTCACACGTTAAAAGGGGGGGGCCCACAACGTATCCACACAAAGGCCCAATGAGACGTCGCCTCCCTTATGGCATGCCCTGTTTTCCTCCTATGTCATTGGGTCATCGGCCGGGTGATCAGACAGATTTCTTGGTCACCGTCCAAGGTTCGCAGTGCCAATTTGCCGTTCCCTGCCACAACCGTACCGCCTGACCACTGCCTACCGCCAACCTGGCTGGGTGTCAGGGGCCTCCACGCTCCTGTCCTCTTTCCCTCGATCCAACTGGCCATCCGTTCATCTCAAACCCAAAGCTGGAAGAACTTACTGTGCAGTCACCAGCAATCCACCGGCTTTCCGTCTTTTTCTGTCCATCTTGCATCCCATATCCACGCAAGCCCACCAACACATACGGCCTGATCTAATCGTAGACACGCCCGGACACATGGCGTCCACCCCAAATTTGCTCCTCGCTGTGGATCCCGATCGGAGATCAGGTCTTGGGACGGTGGTACATGTAGTTCGCAGAGATGCCACATGGGTGTCCCGCCAGCCGTTTGAAGTTGCGAAACAAGACAAGCGCTGATCCCGGTTTCGACATGCCCACGCGCCGCCCAATGGCCACGGCGCTCTACCCGCCGGGACTGCTTTCGTCCAAGTCAACCATCCATGTATGTTCAATCAAAATGCCGTCCTGGTTTTTTTTTACAACGCCTCGTTCGTCGTGTCAATCTCCACGAAATGGCCTTCTCTTCCCTTGTTAGCAATTTACCGTCGGACCGCCCATGTCACTCTGGGGTAGATTACCGTGCTACCATCTGATGACATGCATAGCCTTTATTGACGAACCAGACAGAACCTCTTGACCCTTGCTGAGGGGGTTGATTGAGGGCAATCGTCCAACTCTCTTCCTTCTTCTGGCTTGAACAATTCTTTTTTTCCTTTCCTCTTTTCCTCGCCGTTTTCCTCGCCTTGCCACAATTGACCTGGCGACTCACCAGATCATTCTTTACTGTGTTATCACCAACCATTGAAACCAAGCGGGTTTCGCCATGGAAGACCAAACCTTTTTTGATTGGGGCGGCATTGGTGATGGGACAGAGATAGGTCTATACCTTCCCTCGGCCGAGGTGGACGGGGACTGGTCGATGGAATCTGTTGATGTCGCCACCGTTCCGACCTGGAACGGCACGGTATGTGATCAGGCTGGGATGGATCTTGATGGAGGGGGTCTACTCCCCGCCGTTCAAGCTTCTCGGTCCGGCACCAACGACCATGGACCCTCGGCGCCATTTTCGTCTTATCTCGAAGACGACGGCGCATCCTCGGCGCAGTATTCTCGATCCGAAGCGGACGACAGCAACGCATTCTCCGCTCCATCCTCTGCTCCATCCTATGCCTTCATCGAGGACCCGTCATCTCGTCCCGAAGCCGACAACAACGCATCCTACGCTCCATCCTATGCCTTCATCGAGGGACCGTCCTCTCGTCCCGAAGCCGACAATACCGTTCCGTCCTCCGCGCCGCCTGGCACAGCCGAATTCGTGGGGGGCCACAGCCCACCACCCTCTGGGCCCAAAGCCTACGACCAGATAATATGGGTGCGACCTCTTCAACAAGACGACACCGACGAGATCATATCCTTGGGAAAGAGTAAATTGGCCGACAAGCCTGTCCCTGCGGTGAAGCCATACGAACGCAATGCCACTCCAAACGCCGCAGACGGCTTGTATGATTGCGAGTATTGTGAGGAGAAGTTCCCGGTCGCCCATGCTTGGAAGTAAGTTAAAAAAGCAAGCTTAGCTTACTACTCTCTCTCTCTCTCTTTTTGAAAAAAAAAAAAATTGCAAAATGGCAAGAAGAAGAACTCACCAGAAGAAAAAAAAAAAAATCTAGAAAACACATGGACAAGCATGAGCGCCCGTACAAATGCACCTTCGAGGGGTGCACGAACCGCGACGGATTTTCAAAGCCGTGCGCTCTCATGCGTCACCACGAACACCTCCACCTCAGGAAGGTCCAATGGTTCTGTATCTTTGAGGACTGCGACCGACACGAACGGGGCTTTTTTCGGAGCGACCACGCCAGGAAACACGAAGAGCGTGTCCACAACTACTACCGGCCGGCTCGCAAGGAGAGCATTTGCAGGTGGTGCAAGCGGGGTGAAATCACCGGCAGACGGCCGTCGAAGAGGACCACCAAGAAGGACCCCACGGCCGAAAGTCCCGCGGAACAACAGGTCATCGGTGGCCGTGGGGCAGGGGGGGCCGCAACCTCCCTCGAGGAAAGAATTCGATACCACAAGCAAGAGTTGGAGAGGCTCGCCGGATTGCTGCGAGGAGTCCCGGATGATGCTCAAGTCATGTCCTGAACTGGGGCGAGGCGGTCGGATAGTATGTCATGTCATCGGCCCCCCCCTGTCTTGGGGCTTCGAGGCGACGAGGTTTGGTGGATGGATGAGGCTCGTCTGGGCCGTGTTTCCATGGACAGGTCTCGCGTTATCACCATGTTCTTCTTCTTCTTCTTCTTCTTCTTCTTCTTCTTCTTCTTCCAGGTACAAGGGAATGTAGCCATCATCTTCTGCAGCAGCATCGACTCGTCCGGCGCTGGCAGCTGAGTAAATGATCACTTGTATATTATAGCAGTAATACACTGTCGGCAATGATATACCTACCTCTCAGGCCCTCTCCCGCTCCCGTGTGACCTGTCGGTCGACCTGTATCTCTCGCTGTGTAGAGCTCTCTCCTCTCCTCGTCCCTGTTGACATCCATGTCGAGTTCGAGTTTCTCGTCCGGGATCGCCATTGAGAGATTGTGCAGAGAGGGTGAACTCCATCCTTCATCTTCTTCAGCCCATCGATGCGTGGAAATCAGACCAGAGTCGGGCCTGAATCTGGATCTGGATCTTTCCGAGCTGGCTGGCTGGTCGCCATATTGAGCTGCCTGCTGCCTGCTGCCTGGTCAGCGCATTCTCCAGATGGATAGTAGTACCAGTCCAAAGTCAAGGCATTCCTCAGTTGAATTGTAGTACCAGTCTAAAGTCAATAATCATCTTCTTGATCTTCTCCCTCTCCTTCTCCCCCTCTCCATTCACTTGGATTGTAGGACCAGTCCAAAGTCAAAGACCTTCTTGATCTCTTCTCTCTCCTCCCCCTTTCATCCTCTTGGTTTATAGTACCCGTCCATGTCAGTAGTCATCTTCTTGGGCCGCTCCTCTCCTCCCTCCCCCCCTTCATCCAGCTGGATCGTGATACCAGTCCAAGTCGATGATCATCTTCTTGATCTCCTTCCCCTTCATCCAGCTTTATCCTCTTTTCCTTTCCCTTTCCCTTTCCCTTCCCCCTCCCCTTCACCTCCCTCTCTCGTATTTTCTTCTACCTCCTCGCATCCTGCTCCGTCTTGATGAGGGCCATGCCCACGACTCGGAGATATCATGTAGTATGTTCCCCAGGTCCACCGATCTCATTTTGTCCGAGAGGGTTGATGTTTCGGGAGTAGTACCCCATCTACTTTTCGCCAGGCGTTGCAAGCCACGCTCCTTGGGCTCGGAGCCCGAATGAACCAGATCGGGATTCAATTTCGTAGAGACTGAGTCCCTCCTCGCTGGCGAGCGGTACTTGTAGAGGGCTGGGGCTGTCTGTCGGCATCGAGCGAAGGGTAGAGCTTCACCAGCCGCAGGCATCCCTTGACCGTCATCTCCAATCGGGTTATGATAGGGGGAAGGGATGCACTGGCCTGCCTGTCAACCTGTCCCCCTCCCCAGTCGCGACGGCACGCAAAAAGAGTAGAACCGTGTATCTCTCTGCGTCCATCCGCTCGTCTTGACACTGGTAGAGTTTCCCTTCAAGGCCGAGATAGAATTCCACCGAAGTTCTCGTCGGGTTGGGGAAGTTCTTATTCAGTGGTACATGTTGGGACGGAGGGACAATCCAGGCTGCGCAGGCTGGAACTGACGGTTAGCCTCTGGCAATTTTGGCACGGTTGTCGTTTGTCAGAGTTCGCTCTTGGCATCGGGGTGGTCGGGATCACCGTCTTTGTCGTCGCTGCTGGTAGGTAGGGATCGGGGTTGGGCATGCATCGGGCTTAAAATTGGAGAGATACGGGGAAGGGAGCGGTGACAGTTTTGTAGTCATGGGTGATTTTGAGAGTCCCGCCAGCCTTCTTGTATGTAGACTCCAGCGCGTCTTTCTTTCATTTAATATGTCCTGCCATCCATCGAGTATAGGGTAATTCTCTGATAGGAGTCATGTCTTCGTATCTTTAGGTGAAGCTGTGACTGCGCTCGGTGACTGCGTGATGTTGGACTCGGTGGAATCAAACGACGTCCGCGGTCGTGGCGGCTCGATCATTGACCCAGGTCGTCGATTGTCCACTCCTCTCTGCGGAGCAAAGGCCAAAGTAAGTCGTAGGGAACCGCGTCTTCTCGGAACGATGAAGCCAGCTGGCATCCTGGAATGGCTGGCTGGCTGGCTGGACAGACACAAGAACAGGGAATCCTGATGATGTGAAAAGGTTGGGGGACCGTTTCGTCGTTTCGGAATGTGGACTTTTCGTTGAGGGGGAGGAGGGAGGGAAACGGCAGGCTGCAATAGTTGGCCGGGCTGGCTTCGTCGCTTACAGGAATACGTAGCACTCAGAGGAGTGAGTGATCAAGGGCAGCGTAAGGGAGCTAGCTGGGTTGATGCAAAGCGAGCGAAAATGCTGAAGTGGGGCTAGGCTCTTGGCCCGCAGCATCAACTCGTCCGGCGGTGGGCATGGTGCTGGGGGTTAACGGTCATTGTACAGGAATAACAAAACAGCATAGAGGAGTTCGATCAGTAGATCCCATGACTTGATTCATAACTATCCTTCCTTGATTGAGTTCTTAATTTACCAGATGGATAGATTCTGTTGAAGGATCAAGGAAAAGGGGATCTCAAACCCACTGTCAGAGATCCAGCCAATCAATGGCCAGGAATGTCACCCTTTACAGTGTACGGGCAAATTCCACAATCACGTCTCAGCCTGTAGACTCTCCCATTACACTGAAAGTCGCAGTTACTAAGAGCACATCATGATCTCTAGTGCTCCATACATTGGAACGGAACGGAAAAGGCGTAAAGAAGTGTGGGCTACGCAGTCCGTACATTGGGCACAAGAAGCGACCCAGCGACCGAAAAAGGAAATCAATTGCTGCCATCTCAACCTCCAACAGGCCCTTTACATTTCCGCTCATGTACACCGGATCGAAAGGGACAGCTGAAGCATCTCTAGATGCAAACGAGAGATAAGCGAGCGTGACGGTACTCACTTTTCCCTCCCCATTCTTACTCTGCATTCTGCACGGCAAGTCCCGGCATGTGTCCCGACGGCGGATTGACAATCATCAACGTGAATCGATCAATGACAGCTAAATTTCCCGAAGAAACGTGCCAAAAGGGAATTGGTCTTGAGAGGGCAGATTCTGTGTATCGTAGTTGGATCGCTTCCCTACTGCGGCCGCTCCGGCAGTTCAAATGTTGTGCCAGCTCTTTCACTTGCGTCGAGGTGGTTGCCGTCTCCGAAGCGGCGACGTGACCCCCTTGCCCTCCTCTTCCGTCTCCACGTCTAAACCTACCCCATCGGACATGTAGTCGGACCCGGGCGGTGACGGCAGCGTAGAAGGAGTCGAGTCGGCGCGTCCTTCCTGTCCTGCGCCTTCGCCGCGCACTCGCATTCATCCTGACCACCCGCATTAGACGCGTTTTCGTCGTCTCAGCACGCGTAGAGCTCGAGTCGGCGTTGGTTGCTGCTTCTGTTGTCCTCGCACTCGTCCGCGTCACGCTGCCGCCGGTGGTGGCCCTTGCTGTCCGAAGCACCGGGCGCTTCGAAGGGGGGGAGGAAGAGGGGGGATCGTCGGTTGCCGGACTGGGGGCGGCGGCCTCGTCGTCGTCGTCTTCGCTGTATCCCTTACATGTTATAATGAACGTGACCTGCGTACCTGACTGTCTGATTGCACCATTTCGGCGCCCGACGCCACTATTGCGAGACGACGAATGGAATGGGTTCCAGCATCAGCCCATAACGAAGGAAAAAGGAAGTTGCCGCAATGGCAGGCTGGTTTTGTCGAGTGCATTCTTTCTGACTGAAGAGAGATAGAGAGAGAGAGAGAGAGAGAGAAAGAGAGAGAGAGAGAGAAAGAGAGAGAGAGAGAGA